TAATCTTGTACATACATATATATTATATAAAAAATATATTATGTAAATAAATTGAATTCTAATAGTTAAATCAATACAACGCCTAATTTTATTCATTCAAATATTATTTACAAGAAGAAAGATTTATGACAATGATTATGTTATAGTTTGTGAAAGAAACATAAAAAATACGAATTTTAATTTGCGATAATATATGCAATATTGCTGCGATAATATATGCAATATATGCTGCGTATGCAAAAATAATAACGGTTTTTTTAAATACCGGTATTAATCATTCATTCATGTTGTTTATACATTTGTTATCATCTGCGGAATTAATATTATCAGATATGAAAATTATACGTATATCTATAAACGAGCGATAGCAACGAGCGAGCGATAAATCAGTAACTGCATCGCTTGGTACAAGTGTACTTAGAGCTGCGTTCAAATTGAAATGAGAAGGAGATACGCATGCATTGGTCAGTCTTGACAAAGAAACTACTTTTCAATTATAATGCAATTTTTCTATCGAAGAAAATTCCATTTGAGAATCTCGTTATATTGCATTTGTAACACTGTTTATTCTTCGAAATCACACGTCGTTTATATTATAATATATGCGATCAAACTTTGCTGTATCAAATAAAGGAAAAAGATTTACTATTTTGTCGTAATAATCCATTGCGCTATTATTGAAACTATGCTGACATAAGTAAGCAAAAAAATGTGTGTGTTTTATCAAAGTGTTTGCAAGAAGCAAATAACTTCTTGAAAAGCAAATAGTTTTCGTTTTTTGCTCTGATTTTGCGTGAAGAAAAACATGCGTCTCGCAATAACATATGGCGTGGCATGATTATCATACATGATAATTTAGTATCTCTTAATTGATCGATTAAAGGGAAATACGAAATTATGTAATAACAAATAAAACGCGTTTTACTTGTGCAGGATAAACAAAAAAAAAAAGAAACATCTGGTTAAACAAAGAACCAAGAGTGATAGACATTTTACAACACTGCACTGCAAATATGCAATTATATTTATTTTACAAACCTGGACACATATGTTAATATATCTTAATACATATCTAATATTGTCTGTATTTATTACTGAAAAAAAATTTGTTTTGATCAACTTCGATGAAATTGGTCCAATAAAATCTTTATGATTTACAAATACATTTACGTGAAAAGTGAAGAATTTGAATTTTATTTCTACAGTTTCTCTTTCAATTTCTATACACCCTGTATACTTGCCATTTTAATTCGCAAAGAGCAACGGACAAGGCAGATTAAAGCCGTGCAGTGATAGCGATATCGGTGTGTGCGAGGGAGACAGGGAATCAACACGCGAGAGAAAGAACAGAGACAGAGGTAGTGCCGCGATGTGGGATAGTTGCGATGAGAGTGAGTGCAGTGAGTTGACTTCGATAAGGACGATTGAATTCGTGAAGCCCGAGATGTTCGAGCCTACGGAACAGGGAAAGGTGAGTGAGCCTTTTTCCGGATATGGTCATCGGGCGAGGTCCTGCCGAAGGACGATGCGCCGGTCAGAGGAAATTCGATCACGCTGTCGTGATTGCAGAAGAGATGACGTTCTCGGAATGCATCCGCCTACATGTATCCCATCGCGTGTTCCACGCGAAATTCAACGATCGGAAATAATCGCGGGAATATCGGAACAATGGCATTCGATTAATCGCGTAAAAGCATCTGCTATGATTTGATCGAAGAACGCTCTATTGTTTCGTGTTTTTTCGGTTTGGCGAAGAGGTTAAGTTGCTTTTAGCGTTCTACGAACAAATTTCGAGTGACTTGTCCGTTCTTTCGTAATCGGGAGTCTCGCGAGAATCATAGGAAAAAGTCACGTGATGCGTAGATGATTCTTATTCTTCGTGGAATTGATAATATAATTTGACATTTGACATTCTTGACATTTTGCAATCTGTTCATGAACAGTATTATGGTATGCATTCGTTATCACGTACAGTCATCGTCAACCATTATGTTTAATTTTAGCACAGATCAGTATTCAGAACAGGTGTTCCATAAAATATGCAATTATTGTAATCCTTTGCAAATTCTTACTTGACATGAATGTTATTATTTTGTTGATATTAGGATCTCTGCATCCATACAGGCGTTGTACTTCGTGGAGCAAATGCTAGAGAAGATGAGGTTCATAGTTCAGGGACACTTAACATTGTGCAATATGTAAGATTTTTTGTTATTGCGATTAATATTATTTATATATATAGATACATCTTATAAAACTCATCTATTTTTACATTGTAGAGTTTTGGCAAATGCATAGAATGGAAGCCTATAGAAGATTCTGTTGTATCAGAATGTCAAGATCAAGATCCAGAGTGGTCCTTAGTGGACACACATACAAGAAGAACTCGTACAAACTCGGAAGGTCCAGACTCTCTTGGACGTACGAGAACTGTTAAAATATTATTCTCAGATTTAAAGTCATTTCGAGTGAATCACGGTGGACAACAACTTATATTTATGCAGAGAGATGGTACCACCTATGTTGCCTTCTTTCAGCTATGTAATGCTGAAAGTTTTGTTAATTCATTGAAGGGATTTATTAAATTCGTAAAATCACGTTCGGATAAGAACTTGTATCTTGTTCTGGATGAAGTTGAGACTGTGTTAAAGAAATCCTTTGCCGAGTTGGACCTGTTTCAAGAAAATACTTCTGATTATGTATGGAAGTTTGTAAAAAACTTACATAATCGCCCTTATGAAACAACATTGGAGGCTTTCAGTAAACTTGCAGATATTTGGTGTAAGTGAATAAATTTATATCTTGCTAAAATCAATATGTATTGTAATTTGCTGTAGATGTAAGCATTTTCATAGGCATGTGTTATATACGACACACACATAT